CGGCACGGGACAGACCCAGGTGCGGGATCAGAATATTAATTCATACTGGATGAATCCGATGAGCTATAAAGCTTTTTTTTTTCCACCAGGGGCGGGTAATAACGTTACAAAAAAACATGGGTTGATTGACTAGAATGACTGGCAGATGCCACCAGTTGTACTCTCCACTGTGCCAACTCTGCGTTTTAGCCGCCCGGCGCTCCGCTCGTTGTTGTGAGCGTCTCTCCCCTTGTTTTCTCCGTTGTTGTTGCTAGAGGGCGACTGCCTCCAACTCACCAGCAGCGTCCTTCATGGACTTCCTCCACAGAGGTCGATCTTGGCACTGCTAGTACTGGTCCCGACCCCCATACACGTATATATAGTAACACCTACCGGATTAAATAGTAGTATTATTCATAATTTAACTCAGAATTTATTAACATTTGAGTTAGACCGTCTTGTAGGTACGTGTGTCAATATTTAACTATTTACCCTCGATCAAATAAAGATGTCACGTCGGCAAAATATGCAAATTTATTAGTTTTATTTGGCCAAACCGGAACATTGATCGGCAAGCAAAATATTGGCATTTTTTTTGTATAGAGGATGTTTCGCTAGAAATTGCATCCATCATTATGAAGTTGTTAGCTCAGACCTCTCATGAGATCCCAACTTGGGTTTGAAATAACAGGGCGATCGGTGGCGATTCACGTCGCCTGTAATCCACCACAGTGGAGCTGGGGGTTGGTGGGTCACACAAATTGTCGTGAAATCCCAATCCCGTGGACTCCCATCTGTGTCCATCTGTACGGGGATAGAGTGTTGCCCCATCGCGCGCCTGGGTTTTCTCCGGTTTACTCCCACTTGTAGAAACATCAATCATTAATTGGCTGAAAACGTCTTTTAAAAAAACAATGCATTATACCCTCATGAAAAATAGTCATACAACTCAGCAAAATGGCTCTCCTGGGCAAATAAGTAAGTTATTATAAACCAATAAGGTGTGCATTATTTAACAAAAATAGTTTCGTTTTGTATATTTTGAAAGTGATTTTATTTTTGTCTTTCGTATCGTTTGTTGCTGTAAAGTTCTTACCTGGCCCTACTGGACATCTGTGAAAACAAAATAAAAAAAACTTGCTGTATAGGGAGGGGCACGGGATTCCTCCATAATTAATAATTACAACATTCTGATTCTGTTTTTTTCGGTAAAGTCACGTTGGTAAAATAAAACAACTACATTAAATCACTGATTTAATTTAAATTGAATCTGATTCAATTTCAAACTGATTAAATCCAAATTAAATTACTGATGTAATTTAAAACAAATGAAAACAACTAAATTAAATCAGCGATTTAATTACGTGACTTTACCGAAAAAACCAAAGAGTATGAATCCTTGCAAGTCAAGAAAGCTTCAAATCTATAAATTCTCATTCTGATCATCAGAATTACGGTAAGCACGCGCGTGAGCCTGCATGGCCGGGGGGTCATCTTCCGGAAGACGCGCGCGCGTGTATTTGCGAGTTCACGCTCCTTCCGGAAGACGTTGACGGCTGATCTTCCGGAAGGTATCTATTTCTTCTAGAAGTTTATGTCTGATTCGTTTTATTTCATGAGCGTGCCATCTTCTGGAATTGGGAAGACTATCTTCATTTTGGGTTTGGTTTTTTTTGGGGCAGGAATGAAACCCCATTCGGCAATGAATGCTCGATAGGCAAGCTGGTTAAGCAATTGAAACCTGCTTACAGCAAGACGACAAGACAATCCGTAAGCAATTGTCTACTTTTACACGGTCAAGTTTCGAAACCGTCAACACTGTAGAACCAGCACCAATCATACAACAAGGCTGGTGTAGAACCAGCACCAATCACACAACAAGGTTGGTGTAGAACCAGCACCAATCATACAACAAGGCTGGTGTAGAACCAGCACCAATCACACAACAAGGTTGGTGTAGAACCAGCAACAATCATACAACAAGGCCGGTGTAGAACCAGCAACAATCACACAACAAGGTTGGTGTAGAACCAGCACCAATCATACAACAAGGCTGGTGTAGAACCAGCAACAATCATACAAGGCTGGTGTAGAACCAGCAACAATCATACAACAAGGCCGGTGTAGAACCAGCAACAATCACACAACAATGTTGGTGTAGAACCAGCACCAATCATACAACAATGTTGGTGTAGAACCAGCAACAATCATACAAGGCTGGTGTAGAACCAGCAACAATCATACAACAAGACTGGTGTAGAACCAGCACCAATCATACAACAAGGTTGGTGTAGAACCAGCACCAATCATACAACAAGGTTGGTGTAGAACCAGCACCAATCATACAACAAGGTTGGTGTAGAACCAGCACCAATCATACAACAAGGTTGGTGTAGAACCAGCACCAATCATACAACAAGGTTGGTGTAGAACCAGCACCAATCATACAACAAGGTTGGTGTAGAACCAGCACCAATCATACAACAAGGTTGGTGTAGAACCAGCACCAATCATACAACAAGGTTGGTGTAGAACCAGCACCAACCATACAACAAGGCTGGTGTAGAACCAGCACCAATCATACAACAAGGTTGGTGTAGAACCAGCACCAATCATACAACAAGGCTGGTGTAGAACCAGCACCAATCATACAACAAGGTTGGTGTAGAACCAGCACCAATCATACAACAAGGCTGGTGTAGAACCAGCACCAATCATACAACAAGGCTGGTGTAGAACCAGCACCAATTATACAACAAGGTTGGTGTAGAACCAGCACCAATCAATGTTGGTGTAGAACCAGCACCAATCAAGGCTGGTGTAGAACCAGCACCAATCAAGGCTGGTGTAGAACCAGCACCAATCAAGGTTGGTGTAGAACCAGCACCAATCAAGGCTGGTGTAGAACCAGCACCAGTCAAGGCTGGTGTAGAACCAGCGCCAATCAAGGTTGGTGTAGAACCAGCACCAATCAAGGTTGGTATAGAACCAGCACCAATCAAGGCTGGTGTAGAACCAGCACCAATCAAGGTTGGTGTAGAACCAGCACCAATCATACAACAAGGCTGGTGTAGAACCAGCACCAATCATACAAGGCTGGTGTAGAGCCAGCACGAATCATACAAGGCTGGTGTAGAACCAGCACCAATCAAGGTTGGTGTAGAACCAGCACCAATCAAGGCTGGTGTAGAACCAGCACCAATCAAAGTTGGTGTAGAACCAGCACCAATCATGACTGGTGTAGAACCAGCACCAATCATGGCTGGTGTAGAACCAGCACCAATCAAGGCTGGTGTAGAACCAGCACCAATCAAGGTTGGTGTAGAACCAGCACCAATCAAGGTTGGTGTAGAACCAGCACCAATCAAGGCTGGTGTAGAATCAGCACCAATCATGGCTGGTGTAGAACCAGCACCAATCAAGGTTGGTGTAGAACCAGCACCAATCATGGCTGGTGTAGAACCAGCACCAATCAAGGCTGGTGTAGAACCAGCACCAATCAAGGTTGGTGTAGAACCAGCACCAATCAAGGTTGGTGTAGAATCAGCACCAATCATGGCTGGTGTAGAACCAGTACCAATCATACAAGGTTGGTGTAGAACCAGCACCAGTCAAGGTTGGTGTAGAACCAGCACCAATCATGGCTGGTGTAGAACCAGCACCAACCATGGCTGGTGTAGAACCAGTACCAATCATACAAGGTTGGTATAGAACCAGCACCAATCAAGGTTGGTGTAGAACCAGCACCAATCATGACTGGTGTAGAACCAGCACCAATCAAGGCTGGTGTAGAACCAGCACCAATCAAGGTTGGTGTAGAATCAGCACCAATCATGGCTGGTGTAGAATCAGCACCAATAATGGCTGGTGTAGAACCAGCACCAATCATGGCTGGTGTAGAACCAGCATCAATCATACAAGGTTGGTATAGAACCAGCACCAATCAAGGTTGGTGTAGAATCAGCACCAATCAAGGTTGGTGTAGAACCAGCACCAATCAAGGTTGGTGTAGGGCCAGTACCAATCATACAAGGTTGGTATAGAACCAGCACCAATCAAGGTTGGTGTAGAATCAGCACCAATCAAGGTTGGTGTAGGACCAGTACCAATCATACAAGGTTGGTATAGAACAGGCACCAATCAAGGTTGGTGTAGAATCAGCACCAATCATGGCTGGAGTAGAACCAGCACCAGTCAAGGTTGGTGTAGAACCAGCACCAATCAAGGTTGGTGTAGAACCAGCACCAATCAAGGTTGGTGTAGAACCAGCACCAATCATACAACAAGGCTGGTGTAGAACCAGCACCAATCAAGGCTTGTGTAGAACCAGCACCAGTCAAGGTTGGTGTAGAACCAGCACCAGTCAAGGTTGGTGTAGAACCAGCACCAATCATGGCTGGTGTAGAACCAGTACCAATCATACAAGGTTGGTATAGAACCAGCACCAATCAAGGTTGGTGTAGAACCAGCACCAATCAAGGTTGGTGTAGAACCAGCACCAATCAAGGTTGGTGTAGAACCAGCACCAATCAAGGTTGGTATAGAACCAGCACCAATCAAGGTTGGTGTAGAATCAGCACCAATCATGGCTGGTGTACAATCGGCACCAATCAGGGCTGGTGTAGAACCACCACCAATCATACAACAAGGCTGGTGTAGAACCACCACCAATCATACAACAAGGCTGGTGTAGAACCACCACCAATCATACAACAAGGCTTGTGTAGAAGCAGCACCAATTATACAACAAGGCTTGTGTAGAAGCAGCACCAATTATACAACAAGGCTGGTGTAGAACCAGCACCAATTATACAACAAGGCTGGTGTAGAACCAGCACCAGTCAAGGTTGGTGTAGAACCCATCCCCATACAAAAAGTAGCACGCGTGTATTGCCAAAACGAACAAATTCTTCCGGAAGAAGAAGATATCTTCCGGACGAGGACTACGTCTTCCGGAAGAGGACTACGTCTTCCGGACGAGGACTACGTCTTCTGGAAGAGGACTACGTCTTCCGGAAGGGGACTACGTCATCCGGAAGGGGACTACGTCTTCCGGAAGAGGAATATTTATCTTCTGGAATCGCTAAAAACGCGCGCGCTCTTCTCCTCGTCGCCCATTTCGTCGTCGCTGTTTCAAAGACATCGCCCAGGCGGGAATCATGCCTGGAGACGTAAGCGCGCTTCTCCCACCACCACCACCCGCTTAATGTTTCGAGGTTTTTTTTTTAATCCTCCCTCGCTGTCTAGTTGTGTTTGTAGCGTTTGTGTGTGTGTTTTTTTGTTGTTATCTTTTATAAAGTTCACCCTGACCGCGAAATGTAAAATGGCGGCCGTCGGTGCCGTGCATGGGCAAGGGCGTGAGGGGAGTGTGGCACGTGTTGCTTTGTGACCGTCGAGGAGGATGAGGAGGAGGATGGGGGAGTAAGGGCTCTTCTTTCTGTCCTACGGCTGTTGAGGATGCAGAGCAAACGGCAAGCCCGACCGCGTTCGGAGCAAGCGGGGGTATAGCGTCGCTAAGATCGTCCCCTTCGCTCTTTTTGTTTTGTGTGTGTGTGTGGCTCGTCGGGACATTGCGTCGTGAAACGTCGCACGGTTCCGTCCTGGATGGACCGCGGTTAGTTAGAGTAACAATGCTGAGAGAGCATCGATGAGTACGGTGATGGTATCGGCGTTTGTGAGGGAGCTTACGGTGGGTGGAGGGCACAGGCGGGTGAGTGATGGGGCTTTGCCGATTATTGCCATGGTGGTGGCCGCATGGCTGATGGCGGGCGGCGTCTTGCCCGAATTTATAATGTTAGCTATGGCTGCCGGGAGCACTGCTATATAAGATACGGTGCCATGCAGTCGGGGATGTGTGCATTTGTAAGTGTTGTGCAACGTCAAGCACACGTGTGTACTTTATTGGTGTGTGTGTGAGAGACTGCTTCACTCTTTGTACACCCGAAACCTTTATTCAAAGAGAGGACCGTGCATCAATGGCCCGTGGTGGCGAGATGCTAACTCGTCCGGTATCAAGGAGGTCGTGGGTTCGATCCCCGACCTTTCATGGACCCTCAGGGTTTCCCTCCAATTTTTAGAAACGTGCGTTTAGAGTATTTGCTTGCTATGCATTTCTTAATAATAAGGCACTTCGTTGAGCTATCGTTTGTGGCGAGGTCGCTCTTTTAAAAAAAAGGAGTTATACATATCAGTGGGAATTATCTGGTAAACATTTTGTATATCCATTGTACTCTACGTAAATACTCCCGACGTGTATCCGCTTCGCCTTTAGAAACCCTCGCTGAGCAGCGTGGTGAAGTCTTAACGCCTTTACACGGCTTGGGGGAGTTGCTATAGTTCAGAAGCAGATTTATAAAGGGCTGTACATTGCTGCTCTGGAACGCGTTCTCAGCAGTTCTTCAGATGCTGATGGCGAGACATTGGATATACTGTGTCGGTGCCGTTCGTAGTCATATCTAGGCGGTTTAGCTTTTTTATTGTTAAACACGTGGACAGACAGGTTTGATTGCTCTTTGGTATGGTGTTGTGCCCAGCGGCAGTGGGTGATTGAGCCCATCTGTAGCGCGTGCAAGTTTTAAAGTCAAACCTGGGGTGTGTGTGTATATATAACCAATAACATATTGTCCAAGGAACACCTACATGTAATCGAATTATTACATGGCCATTGTGTATCCACTACAGTGCGTACTGTGATCTAGTCTAGCTCTCGATGTTTTACGAGCCACGTGCAACAATTTTTTATTTCTTTTGCTTGCAAGTGATTTAAAAAAAAAACTAATTAACTCGACACTTGTGCCATACTGGCAACATTTGATTAGAGCTTTAGTATCATGGCAGGAGGAGATTTGTTACTTTCCGTGTGATGGTTATTTTTCTTGTGAAAGTTAGAACTGAACTGGAAACCCAATAAAACCCCTTTTATCATACCGTGAAATGTAATTGTTTAATATACTTGACATCTAATGATTGGGTAGTTTGCTGGTACTGTTGATTTTTTACCTTTTATAATATTAGCGGCTTCACCCCTTTTTACGTTTCTTTTCATACTGCCTCATGGTTTGATTAAATAGGGTGACTTGCGAATGCACGTTATGCTGTTAAAAGTATGGTAATTATATGCCAATTCATGTACTATCTTTTGTCCCAGAATTTGAGAAGGAAGCTTACAAAGTGCCACGTGTTCACGCAATACAGTACGCTACAGTTGCCGCCTGCTGGAAAATCACGGCCTGTTGCGTAACCGTGCTATTTTTTTTTCATATCCACGTCCTTAGGACGTGACCGTCCCTCCCTTAGGCCAGCCAGCAAAACTTAGTATGGTATGATTGGGTCCCGTCCTTGAAAGACCTACCACCACCCTCGCCCCCCCCCCGACTAACCCTTAACCCACGCTTCCCCTGGTAACCCCCCCCCCCAACTCACTGAACCTCCTCCCGACTAACTCCCAAACCCACGCATCCCCTCGGACCCCCCACCTATACTGCCCCCCTCCCCGACCGCGCGCCCCCATCCGCGTGTCGGCCACCCGTACTCTTGACCCGCCAACCCCTCGACGCATGCCATCGAGTCAAAAGGCGCGACGGGTTGGCCGGCCAGTAGTACGGTAATAGCACTGCCGATGGCGCATTTGCGTGGGATACACGGCGAAGGTGGAGGGAGGGGAAGGCGTGACGTCGGCATGCACGAACCTGGCAAAACGCCGAGGGGAGTGGTGGGGGGGGGGTTATGCGGTCGATGTCGTCACGCAGATGTACGCGGTGACGTCACTACCGCCCACGCACACAATGGAAAATGTACAATCACCCCAGTTTCCCATCAAGAGCATTTGGTGATATCCTGAATCCATCCATGGGGGGGGGGGAGGGAAATGTGCAAACGATGGTTTGAAGGTATTCTTTTACTGGAAATACATTACGTTATGCAGCACATTTAAAATGTGTCATTGATTATTTTATAACGTTTTGCTTTGTTTTACTTTACAGCACTACTCTCCAGATGAGCAGCAGCGCAAGCTGTTCATCGGTGGTCTCAGTTTTGAGACCACCGAGGAATCCATGCAGAAGCATTTTGAACAATGGGGCACGCTGACCGACTGTGTGGTAAGTTAATTGTTTCGCCGGAAAACCACGAGTCGGGCTTTTCTGTTGCGTTCATAGTTTGTACAGTCGTTTTCCCATTTGGTTGACCCTGTCCCCCTGGCTTCTGTGTGCTAAATCAGGACTGGGTTTGCTTGAAGCCCTTTTGGCTGCATCTTATCAACCGATCCTTTTGGGACTTGGAAAGGATGGGGTCTCGTTTGGTGGCTTGCTATCGGTTGCCAATATGTGGATCGCAAATTATTGTGGATTTTGGGACAAGTCAGAAACAAACGCTAACATAAGTATACACGTTTTCGTTATGGCTGATTGCAAATAAAAAAAGTCCCTTAGGCTTCATACACAAAAATATTACTTCTGCCAATAGATGGCGGTAGTACTCTGTCTCGTATATTACAGGGTTAAATCCGGGTAATTGTTTGTCACAGATTGTGGGTGGATCGTGGAACTGCTCCACATTGCATCTTTAAATATTCTTAACTTGATTCTTGTTCTCTGCTTGACAGGTGATGAGGGACCCCCACACAAAGCGCTCGCGAGGCTTTGGCTTTGTGACGTACATGTCGGCCGAGGAGGTGGACGCTGCCATGGAGGTTCGCCCTCACCATCTGGACGGCCGCGTGGTGGAGGCGAAGCGTGCCATCTCGCGCGAGGTACCCCCCTCTCGCCGTGTTTGAAATCGCGCTGGGGATTCTCAGCTTGAACAGTTATTGTGGCCTCCTCTAAACCCTTAATCCTGTTAAACCCTTTATCCTTCTGCAGGCTTTTTAATCAAATCGGTTTACGAGGACATTTATTATTCGCCTCAACCTTAAAGTACAAGGATATCGCGATAGTGCTACGTGTCACAGACATAGTCTGCAGTAGTTTAATAGTAGGGGATGACATTTCTATGCGTTCTCATAATGCCTTTAAAAACACCCTATTTGTCCATGAACCACCTTTTGAGAGCATTTGCATTACACCATTGTAAAATAAATGTATGTTGTGAGCACATTGGAGAACAATCTGAGTGTTGATGGTAGTTTTGTGGTGCCATTTATTTTCCATAATGCAAAGCAATATTAAGTTGTGCTGTTGCTAGTTCCATTTTATAGTTGTGCATGCTGAACGTGTGTTTTTAAAGTGCTTTATAAAGTGGGGATTTGATTAATTGTATCATGTTCTATTTTAATCTCTCTGTAAATGTTGTGCATCATTGGTAGCTGGTGTGTAACCTGTTTCGTATGCTTTTCACAGGACTCTCTCAAGCCTGGTGCCCATCTGAAGGTGAAGAAGATCTTTGTGGGTGGCATCAAGGACAACACGGATGAAGACCACTTGCGAGATTACTTTTCGGAATATGGCATGGTGGAGTCTGTGGATGTCATGGAGGACCGCCAGTCTGGCAAGAAGAGAGGCTTTGGCTTTGTCACGTTCTCTGACCACGACGCCGTTGACAAAGTGGTTGGTAGGTCGAGCTTTGTACACTGCCAATGCTCTGCAATAGTTTAAAGCTGTAAGCAAACTTTTTTGCTGCTTTGCGAGCTATATTTTGAGTATTATGACAAAACTTGCTTTTAAGTGTTTTTGCACTCTTGACACTTTCCAACAAATTCGCATTGCTTGTATTTTATTCATGGGGGTGGATTTATAAGTTCTGTTTTCTGTATCCTTGTTCTGTTTTAGTTCAGAAGTACCATACCATCAATGGACACAAGGCTGAAGTGCGGAAGGCTCTCTCCAAGCAGGAGATGAACTCTTTGGGAGGAGACCCAAGACAAGGTGGTAAGTAGCACTTGAGCTGTCATTATCTATCAGCACAATGCAGGAAGTTCCCTACCTCAAATACCGTTCTTAAAATTACATGTAAATACAGATTATTCATTTTGTTTACAAGCCCCGATGGCGCTGATATTTAATTTCAAATAAATACTTTTCAGACGCATGCTTCTGCAACGCGTTCACTTTTGGTTATATTTAATGACTGTATACAGTAGCCCCTACTATGATCTGCTCTGGTTTAAGTCAATAATCATGACAAATGTGGTGAGAACTTTTCGGCCTCCTGTTCACTGCACCAATCACAGTAACGTTAAAAAAGTATTCATATGTTACAATCCTGATATTTATATACCCATGTATTTATGTATTTTAGAGAGAATAGTGGAAAGAGTTAATGGACTCGGGTTGAATCTGCACATGAAATATTTTTTTTGTCCTTTCCTGTGTTTTCAAAAGGGAGAGGAGACCGCTCAGGTGGTTATGGCGGAAGAAATGGAGGTGGGGGAGGATACGGAGGCAGTCGTGGAGGTAAATATGTTGTCAAGTTCTTTGACAGTTGTGTGTTTACATGATTTGTTGATTGTTGATGAATATAACATCAATTATGATCTTTCTTGAAGGTGGTGGCTACGGTGGTGGTGGATATGGGGGTTCGGATGGTTACGACAGCTATGGTGGTAAGAACTGGATTTTTTTAACAACCTAAGAATTTTGTAAATAAATGCTGGCTTGTATTTAGTTTTTCCACAATTTTCTATTTACAAAACCCAGTTTTAAGTAACCTCGTGTTAACTTGGTCATTTTGCTTTAGTAAAAGGAACAATTATGAATACAATTTTGCCAGATAAATGTTACACATTTTATGCTTACACTTTATTCTTCAACCATGCTATATGGGGTATGAAATATGCATGTTAAGATTCGCGAATGAAATGACATTTAATCCCACAATGCTTCAAATGTGTTTTATATAAAGTTTTTGCATAATTTAATTTATTCCTCTAAACATTGGTCAAAACAAACTCCACTTTACAAACGAGATGGACTGCAGACAGTAGAAATGTTTCATACAAATAAAGGCATGGGTTCATAATATAGGCCAATTAGTAAGGTTTGTCACATAAACAGAACATGCCAATTCGTTACTAGCACAGCGGCGAGTTGGAGAGCAAAATTGTCTTGGGTGGTGGTGAGTTTAACGACACATTTACGCGATCTAACCCAAAAAAAAACTATTATGGATGCTATTGGTCGCGAAAGGCCTACGCGTTAAAAAGACATGGGTTCTTGTGGTGAATCATTGACATGCGAGAAGATTTTGGGTGAATACTTATGACTCGTATTAAGTTGTGTCTGTTGATTCCCCCCACCGTAGGTGGCGGGTATGGTGGTGGTGCGGGTGGTGGGTATGGAGATCGTGGTGGCAGTTATGGCGGAGGTTATGGCAACCACGGAGGTGGATATGGCGGAGGTGGTTATGATGGCTATGGGGGTGGTGGAGGGTATGGTGGTGGTAAGTTGCAACACTTACATCAATTTGCTGAACATTCAATCAAGTCAATTGTACATGTTTTGATTTTTTTTACTTAAAATTGTTGATATGTGGAGTTTGTCCTAAAATGTAGCTGTGCACAACAGGTAACTACGGTGGTGGTGGAGGTGGTGGTGGTGGTGGCTATGGTGGTAATGATTTTGGTAACTACAACCACCAACAGTCCAATTATGGACCCATGAAAGGTGGAAGCTATGGAGGAAGGAACTCTGGAGGTCCATATGGAGGTATGATGAAGCAAAATATTTGTAACTAGTTTCTTTTTTAATAATTTACGATCTGATAATATTTTTCAACTTGCCTTACATGTCCATTGACTGTTATTGTGATTAAATCCCTCTTCTACTTTTGGAAGAAGGATCCCAGTGGGATGAGAAAAAAAATCTTAAATGCGGGATGCCTGCATTTAACAGCAAATGTTACGTCAAGGAAAAATAGTTTCAAAGAAGGTTATGGGCAAAGTTGCATTAAAATCCTTGCACATTATTTTGAAAAATGACACTTCATCGGTGTGCAAAAATGGCAAGGGTCGTGACGTATTGCACAAAATGATCGTCTTATCAATAGATGTGGCATAGATATTTATGTAGATATTTTTCTTTAGGTGGCTACGGCTCTGACGGTGGTGGTGGTGGCGGCGGCGGCGGTGGCTATGGAGGACGTGGAAGATATTAGTGGATATGGTGGCTCTCAGTATCCCAAGGTATGTATTGCTATTATTTATGCATTACTGTAATGCATATCACATAAAACTTACATTTTAGAATTTTCATGTTCCTACCATATGACATTTGCAAGATGTTGGTTAACCATTTCATTGCAAGATAATGTTTTTGCACAAAGCATTTCACAGAACAAAAAGCCTATGTGTTAAACTTAACAAAAAGGCGTTGGACTATTTAATAAAGTACACAAGTCAGTACCATCAGTTGCCTTTATGACTTGTGTAGAGCGCCCTCTATTTAAATGTTTTTTGTAGTAATTTTGGAAGTCAATTAACAGATTTACAACTGTTGTTTCGTCTTCTATTTTTTACGTTTCAACAGGCCAGAGTGTAATTAGCCAAGACCAGCCAAGAGTGACAGGACAGCCTCAGATTTGTGGGCTCCAAAGTGACAGTCCCCTTCAGGCAGACAACTCCATAGAACTTTTTACCTCCCTTTCCATAGCCCGTGGCATGTGTGAGTTCAATATTGTGCCTTTGTGGTGGTGGTGATTATAAAACATGTCTGCAGTGTATGCTATAAAACCGCTTTGTGTGAAAATTTACACAGCATTCCACGTATTCAAAATAGTGGTAAATCCTAGTCGAGCTTTTTCATATTTTCCATTGTAGTTTCATGTTTTGATTTTTGAATTAGTTTTGAGTACCGACTGACATGTCCATTGTCTAGATTGCTTTAACACTGCGTAATTTACAGATATAGTGCACGTAAACAGGATGATGTATGCTTAACAGGTTGGTTTCTATGAGCCAATAAAATCATGTTTCGTGTTGGCCTCCATACAATAAACGTACTAGCAACACACTAAGAAATGCTTTGAACATATGGCTTCCATCATTGATGTTACTGCAGACCTGTCAGCTCAAATGTTTTTTCATATGAATGAATTTTAATATTATGTTCTAATGATGTTTTAATTGACTTCAAGACCTTACTAATAAGTCACATCTCTGACCTGTTTGGAAAATGTGTTTGTCAACCTAATACAGCGAAATATAAATTTTTCAAAAAACCTTTTAAAGATTAGATTGTTTTTATTTCCTAGATTCGTGCGTAATTCGCCGTGAACCGCGCGCTCTTAGTTCGTATCGTTATGGTTTCTTGAACGTAGTCGCGCAGTCCGTTGGGTGTTTTACTTTTCTCAAGACCCAACTACCGCTCGGCTATTTGCTCAACAACTTATCGTTGCGTCCAAGCGATCTTAGAAGAGGGGGATGTCTTCTGCACTGTGGAGAGCCAAGAGTCCCCGTCGAGACTGAACGTGTAGCTACGACAGCCAGCCCAGCGTTTCTCAACTAGGTGACCGCTGGGAGCCATCGACGTCACGTTTTATCACAGACGACAGCTTAACAGCGCACGCCTCGACAGCGCAGCCACACTGGAGTTAAATCGGCGTCCAGAAGAATCGTAGTTGCCGCCGCCACCTGCTTCTAGAGAACGGAACGCGACGCAGCTGCCCCCCCCCCCGAAGGATGTCACTGCATGTTTCTAGCACCCCACTCTACCGGGATTCCTCCCCCTTACAGGTTCGCTAGACGTTCCAGCCTCCACCCCCCCACCCAGTGAGCTCTGTGGACGCAGAGTAGCGAGCTGGACGCGAGGAGGCTGCAGGCGGTTGCGTATCCGAGGGGGACTAGCTGCAGAGGCCCCCTACGACAGCTGCGACCGTAGCAAGCAAGTTGGTGTGCTTGTAGCGGCAGTCCCTTCAGCCCAGCGCAGGGATAGGCCGTGTGGACTGATCGTCAAGCCGAGCTTGTCCTGATGTAGCAGCTTGAAGCTCCGTTTAGGACAGATATCAACCAGTGTGGTAATAGGTAAGATTTGCAGAGCACCTTTATACAAACATGTTTAGATGTTTACAAATCAAATGTGCAATTTCATTGGTTTTTTTATTGAATTGGTTGAAAGATTGATTTCTAAATAGCGAGTTTTTTTATGATGCGCTTGTCGACCGAGTTGTTTTTAATAACTTTTTTTATCAATTGCTGCTGCAGGTGTAAAGAAAGAAATATTCTGACCGAAAGGTAAGTGTCTACAATGCATCAGGTAATGGACTAACACGTGGGAGGCTTTTGTGACCAATATCCGTAATGGAGGTTTTCGGGTTAGGTCGCGTGAATATATAAATGTGTCGTTAAAACCCGCCACCATCCGATAGCCAACTAGTAAGGGTTGTCACGTAAACAGAACATGCCAATTCGTCACTAGTACAACACATCGGTGCGTTGGAGAGCCAAGCTACAACATTTACAATCTAAGTACGACGTTTCGCCAGTAATTACAACTTGCTTCAATTGTTTACATTCCTCTATTGGTGTATCTTACATTTTCGATGTCTCCCTTTAATACTTAAGCAGGCCCAATGGGCATGTCAGATTCTTTGTCACTAAAATAATTTCCATTCATAACTCTAAATAGTATTGCACATTCCCGGTTGCTACTTCCAATATATGTTCAATTGCCTCCTATCCATGCTTCATCTAGCTTGAATGAAGCCAGTTGTAATTACTGGCGAACCGTTATACTCGGTTTGTAAATGTTGTGGCTTGGCTCTCCACCACCGGTGTGCTGTACTATTGACGAATTGGCACGTTCTGTTTGCGTGACAACCCTTAGTAGTTGGTGGTGGCGGGTTTTAACGACATTTACGCGATCTAACCCAAAAAAGTACTGGACAAAGTGAAATGCTGGTGAAGGGATGACTCGTGATGTGTGTTAAGTTTCCATGTTTGATTTGTCTCTCCATTTCCAACCCTCCTAACCACAATTTTAAAATGCTTACAAGAATTGTGATGCAGAGGTGCTAAATCAGAAAAAAATGCCATTTTTACATGGAATGAGTGGGTTGTGCCCTACAATAGTTTAGGTCAATTTTATTCTCGGGGTATACTTTTTGCTGCTAATTATTTTGCAATCTGAATAATTGTAGGTTTCTGGTTGATAACGTTTATTATGAATGGGGTGTACATGAGGTGGTGGTGTGTGCACATGGATAGCGTTCTTATCAACTTCACTCGTGCCCCATAAAAAAAATTCGGTTAGATCGCGTAAATGAAAATTTGTCGTTAACGCACCAGTGTGTTGTGATGGTAAACCCACAACTTAATGCTGTTGCTACCCGCTTGGCATTTTGGGGCCTGCTCCGCAAACAATAAAAACCCCCAACATTCCCTGAGAACTAGAACTTTGTTTTGACACAGCTTTTCCACCCATCCAGACCAGATGTCACAGCTATTCGGCACGACACTGGCTGAGAATACCCCCGTGCCCTCTCGTCGGCTAAAGCTGGCTTTGGTTAAATCCTGAGTTTGAGCTTTGACATGGCCACCTCTGATTAAATAGGACTTTTGGTATTGTCCCATGTCTGGAATACAGTATTAGGGAACGTTTCCAGCTCTTGTTAAATTCACATATGCACAGAGCAGGTAAGACGATACTGCACAGTATGGATAGGAGGCAATTGAACATATTGGAAGTAGCAACCGGGAATGTGCATTACTATTTAGAGTTATGAATGGAATTTTTTTTATGACAATCTGACATGCCCATTGGGCCTGCTTAAGTATTAAAGGGAGACGTAGAATTTTGTAAGATACACCAATATTGAGGAATGTAAACAATTCCCCCCCCCAGGACTTTTGATGAATGTCACTCCAGAGCAGGATTCTCGTTTGAGAACAGACTTTTTTCCTGTGCTGTGAATGCAAAGTTTATATGCACATTTACATAATTCGATGCAGACAAAACGAGCTTAATGTTTTAATCTCTTGATTTTGGAACGTAACTGGTATTAGCTGCCGCTGAACATTGCTGGAATGCAAATGATAATTGCCTTTGCACATATAATGGTGAATAGGCATTTACATCATGAAGCATTTTAATGGGATTTCGAAGGTGCAAACTTTTTTTGCCATTGTGAAGAAACATTTTGGAAGTCTTACGCACAATTCATTGTGACTCACAATCGCGTTTATTAAAGGTGTGCCAATGGCCTTGATGTCTGATTTTTTTAATATATAACTGCTGTACTGAATCTAAATTCAGTGCAACCGTTTGAAATTGCGTATCTTAGAAAAATATGAATGTGCAGTAAGATTGTATTGCCTTCAGCTCTGCACTGCTTTGTCCTGTGATACCACAATCTCTTTGCTGCACATGAGCTAATCTCTGCTCCCGTCTCTCCACGGTCCTCGTTTTGGGTGCGTTTCCTCTTTGTGGCTGAGGATCCGTTACTACCAGTCTCGTATATCCCTTCTCGCAAGGCCACTTTTGTGTGTGTACCCAAGAATAAATGTTGGGGCGCCACGGTGGCAACATGTAAACTACTTCGCCTGGTATGCAGGATGGCACGAGTTTGATCTCAACCCTGACAGGCCTGTGTTTGGATTTTTCTCCGGATCCTCCGGTTTTTGGAAACGTGCATTTAGAGTAGTTGGCTGCTCTTCATTTCCACAAGTCACTTAGTTGAACTATCATTTGTGGCCAGGTCACTTCCAAAAAAGAGCTATGCACCCGAGTGGGCCTTAGCTGGTGAAATAAAAGATAGTTTACACAAAACGAGATCTCGTAAGTTGCATGTGTTCTCTCATCCATACGACGTTCTCTCCCGGTGTGTTTATAAACATGCATCTCTTAATTCGTGTACTTTTCAAGTGTTGTCTTGTTTGCTAGTCCATGTCTCCGATCCATGTCATGGAAAGGTAATGTGAACTGGTTGAAAATAACTTAGTCGCTTTGGTACGTTTTTCAATGTCATTCAATTTTACTAAAGCGCCATCTTTGTTTTGATTGCAGTTTGCCTTGATTTTTTTTAGATGTAGATACAAATAATGTTTTGTCCATGTTTATTCCTTAACATTTTTAGGAAAATTTCCTTTTTAATGTTGCTTTTAATATCCTTGTTGAGAGCATGTTCCCTTGCCTGACTTTTTATTTGTAGTATGCTTCTGCATGAATATCTCCCTGGAGGTGTTTCACATTGATACATTGTCATATCTATATATTTTTATTTAGCAATTGCTTTGTGACGGTTTGGATGACTGCATCAGTGTCCACTGAATGGAATGCTATTTCATATTCTACAAAAGCCATGGGTTCCATTTGGTTTTGACACCTTTACATATTCGGTTTAAAAACATCCGGGTTTTTTTTTACCAGCTCGTAGTTTTCTCAAACCTCCGATTAGCACGGTTGGCTACGTATGCCACGGAAGAAGTGCTCCATACACGTGTCGCTTTTTTTCGGGAAAATGGATCTAGAATCAGCGTAAACTTGCACTTTAATTAGGTGGTGGGTCAGCTGGTAGTGGAAAAGAAATAATTTCTGCAACGTACTGTGACCACAATCTTCACGGTAAACGAAAAAAACTACAAGAGAAGCCACCGCATGTTTGAAGAGTTCAACGAGCGTGTGCATGCTGTTCAACCAGTATTTGATGTTAACATCCATTAGTGTGCTGCAGTGTATATGTCGTAATGCGCCTGAAGTTTGTATTCAATAAAGGTATGCGTTTGCCTAGTGGTTATTCGACTGCACTTTCCCATTAGCATTTAGATGTAGTCTTTTGAAGTCATCATGGTATCGGTTCGGCTTGCCAAAGTGCGTGGAAAGACTTTGTCATGCTTTTAATCCAGAAAGCAGAAATACACGTTCACGAGTCATCAATTTCTCAGACGTGCAACAGCTGTGCACAAGCAAACCGTATCGGTCGTAGAAATTCCAATGCGTTGGGTTTTGAATGCAACGGAAGTGTTTACTGTGGCTCAACGATTTTCACGTGTATGCAGTGTACATTTTACTGCAATAAAGATTGCTTTAACACTCGTCGCATTTTCACTTTTGCTGAACGTCGTTTACGAACTTGATAAAGTAGCATTTTATTCCATCATTAATACAATGAAATTACATTTTGGTTGGTGAGATCAAAAAACTAGAAGTAGATAAATGTATTTGATGATTGAATTCTTGACGATTATCTGTGATTTAAAGCTTTCGCGACTGCAGGGATTCATATTCTTGGTTCTTTCGGTAAAGTCACGTAGAAGGGGAAACAATATTTTTTATTGTTTCCCTTCGTGAATTTACCGAAAGAACCAATATGATTTTCTGTGACTTTATGCAATCGTTTTCTGTTGGTGGGGTGAGCTGGGCATCAGATTTTGATCAGATTTATTTTTGAGCTCCGTTGTCACAGGCTGGTTATACAACCTACGTTTGATTTCATTCGGGAGGCACGTGAGATTCCGAACCAGCCGCGTGGCCCTGAGTGGAGCGTGGACTTTACAATCGGAATCCCTGCATGGGGTTTATTTTTGCGTTCGGTAAAATGTACATATTTTTATGGAAAGTAGGCACTTACGGTACGATGATGACACTGCTCAATTCCATAGGCAAGTGGCGTTCCCACTACTGGTTCGACTCAACGAATGGAAGATGAGTGACGCTCATTGCTTGTTGGAACTGACTGATCTCATAGTGTGTGCCCTTTAAACCGGATGAAAGGAAGTAACCATTTGTGCCACTTATTGAACACCGGTTGAAATATTGGGGTTGTGACATTGTAAACATCCATAGGTTAAACGTAATGGCTCGACAACAACTTGCACACATTCATGACAGGGAAGCAATGTTTTCCCATTTTCCTGATAACTCATAACGTGTGCAATACAAATAGGATTTGCAACCCGTCAAATGCACGTGCCGTGACGGAATGTACTGGATTTGGAGGTGGGCAATTTTGGAAGGGTTTTTTTGGGGGGAAGTGGGATTTATGGAGAAAATAGAAGGGATTTTTTTAAAAATATAAACCGAGTAAAACATTTTTAGTGGGTGGTGGAAATTACTATACTGATGTGGATGAAATGGGGAATAAAAATGCAGTTGGCCCGATGATTTGAAGACCTTTTTTTGGTTTCCCGGGCTTGTAACGACGGGTTGCGTTAGAGAGTGCCGATGTAGAAAATAGGAAATCAAGATGTACGGAGCCCGTAGTGAAGACGTGCTCTCCTGTTTGGCTGAACATCAAGGTAATATTTAGGTGGTGGTTGCTACCGCATCAGAGGGAGTCGCAGGTGAGTAAAAGCGAGGTGCGTGTAGGATCTGGTAAACAATTTTCGTCGAAACAATCGTGGCCGGGAAGCAAAAAAAAAATCCCCAAACGCATTCGGACATTTACACGCGCGCCGCACCGCACCCCCTCAAGTCGCGTGCGAAAAATGGGGTAGGCGGAGGCCATCGCTGGCGTTCGGGGCGAACACGCCACCCGTCGAATGTCCACCTACCCCTCGCCCGCCGGGCGCCACGTGTCCGCCGTGCAGCAACTCGTGGAGCTGCACGCGCGTGTCCCTCAGGGCCCCCTCCAGTTCCCAGCGCTCGCGCAGGAGCTGCTCACGCTGCGCCCCCAGCCGCCCCAGCTCGCCCTCGAGTCCTGCGAGGCCCCGGAGCTTGCGCTGCCTGCAGTTGTGCGCCGCCGCCTTGTTCTTGCCGCGCCGCCTGATGTCGCGCACGAGGCTCATCTGCGCCTCGCTCAGCGCCAGCCGCGAACGTCGCTCGGCCAGTTCGGTGGCCGGCAGCGCCACGATGTCCGACACGGACATCGGGATCTTCATGGACCTCGCCTTGCGCTCGTCTTTGCTGAGCCTCGGCGACGACGACGAGGAGGTGGTGGCGGTGGTGGCGGCGGCGTGGGCGGCGACGCCATCGGCGCTTCTGCGCAACGCGGCGGCGAAGTCGCCCCACGGGCCAGCCGAGTGGGAGACACCTGGGAGGCACGCGGAGGAGAACCTTGGGTCGCCGCTCGTCGAAGCCGCGGCCTCGTGTCGCTGGGCCGTGGGAAAGGCGGCCCCTTGTTCGGGCTCGAGGGTCCCGTGCGAGCGGTCCAGGCCGTTCGTCGGCACGCCGAACTCCCAATGTCCCCCCAAGGCTGGGGCGACATAGGGGCCGTCGACCTCCGGGGAGCTTTCTGGTGGCTGGTGTGAGCTCAAAGCGAGCATCTGACTCGACGCGTAGCAGCCGGGATGTGGGACGTGATGGGCTGTCCTGTGGCCGTACGCCTGAGGCTCCGGGCAAAATGTGTCGGGCAGTGCCGCGCTGACGTGGCTGGTGGGTTCGGCGTTCCCGAAGGCCGCCACTGGGTTGGGATTGTTGCCGGAGTGCGCGTGGTTGGGGAAGTCGTGGGGCAGGCACAGGGGAGACACGTGGAAGCAGTCTTCTTCGGCCACCGTGTAGGAGCTCTTCAGATAATGGCTCTCGTCAAAGGAGGCGCTTCCCATCGCCGTGGAGTGTTCCGGCGCCTGTCGGAGACAACGCGTTTGAGGGGTTGATGGCTTGCTTCTCCTTGCAACGCTCTCTTGGATAACAGCATCCCACAAAGTTGTACATTAATTATATATGTATAAAATGACCACATTAAATATACGCGGTTGGCTTCGCACGGAGCGAAAAAAAATCCAACAAACACGCATACATACACCAAGCAAAGGAAAACCCCACTGCCAAGATAAATAACAAAACATGATTAAACAAATTAAGAAATGGTACCAAAAGAAAGCACAAACAACTAAAAAACTAATAATCTCAAGTGTGGTGGGTTGTAGGTCTCAGCCTTGTCACCAATAACTGCAACCCAAAAAATACATTGCGTAGCAGTTTTTGTAATTTTATATTTTACGTAATTTGGTGACATCTCTTAAGGCCTGAATCAATTATTTGACTGCTATGTCACAAACACCTCCACAGCAAAGCAGAAGAGGTTACCACCTCGTGTGGGTACGAAGCAACTAAAGCGACCTCGTAACTAGTTCTGTGAAGTTATCTTCCAGAGGCGATGCCCTAACGTGGAGTGGAAAACTGCTCTGCGAAGTTTCGGATCGACGCTTCTTCTCCACACCTCCGATTAGCACGGTTGGCTACGTACGATGCGAACGAAGTTCAGCATACATTTAACTAAATTTTTCTGAAAATGCAGTTGGAATTTGTTGGATATAACGCGATTGAGCGAACAGGAATAAGCGGTCCTACGGTTGCCTCGGCGTAGCACCACGCAAGGCGGGGATGCTGCTGGATACTTCTTCTAGATGCTACCCACGCGCCGCAGTCTGCCCAGCCTCCGTATGCATCTCACGTGGCATCTCTGACTGTGCTATAACGCGATTTTTCCATAACGCGGCGTTCGAGGAGAACAGACGGTACACATGTATCTAACCAGAGAGGAAATACCCCTCCCCGCCGTGCGAGCGAGTGTTGAGGCCAGCGGGTGTCACGTGTTGGTGTGGTGCGAGTGGTGCGCGCAGCACTCCCGTGCCTCCTTCACCTGACCCTCGGCGAGACACAGCAGGTCCTGCCAGAAGCAGTGGCCCTGTTCCTCCGACGCGACGACGCACGACTGAGCTCCCGGCGCGGTGTGGTAGGGCAGGGGTCCACCGCCGGCGTCCTCTCGGTGTTGATAGCCCGCGGGCTCCGACGACGTCGAGTGATGGGGCGGCAGACGCGAAGCCATGTGTGCGCGTGACGGGTAGCTCCGGCCGGCGGGTGAGGTGCCCAGGTGCGGTCGGGTCGCGTCTCCGAGTCTTCTCGCTCGCTCGGGAGGAGAATCGGGGTCTGCATACCTCCGCGGCGATCCTTGAGGTGGACGCGATCTGCGATGGCACGCGGACGTGAAATGCGGCTCGGACGTTGGCGCGCCGAGTGCGGTGCCCGCTTAGCGCGCGCTCGCGAGGTGGTTTCGGCTTGCGCTCGGCCGCGCGATAAGGAGGATGATTCCCCCTCGGCGTGATCACATTCAAAAATGTGGCAGGTCATGGGACCTTGCCGGAACCATCGTGGGAGGAGGGCCGAGCCTTCGTCTCGAAATGGTATGTACAGTATGTATGCTGAACTTCTTTCGCACCGTACGTAAGCCAGCCCGTATTCCACAGCGAAGATGCTCAGCAGTTCAGAAGTGTTATTTCCCCGAGTAAAGCCAATTTAGTTCGGGAGATATTTGGGGTGTTTTTTTTTGCTCAATGGTGACTCATCCGGAAGACCTCATCAAATGTGCATTTAGGGTGGGGGCCTCCGAATCACATCCCCTTTGTAGCCCGGCTCCACTGTGTGTGTGATCCACATTATGCGTGAGCCATCCCCAGTGTTGGATGACAGCCGAGGAGGGTTATTATGAACGACTGGATTGGCGTGCCTTGTGCTCTCGCGGTAGCGACAGTCGTCCAGATTCTATGCCGGCCTCGGCAGCGTTTCCACAAAAATAACGAGGACGAAATTAATCCCCGGTTCATAGCGCTGCTAATGTGCCGTGGAAGCGAGCGAGCTGAAGCCACCAACATTTTAACACACGCGTCCACTGTGAAAATGAGCTTCATAGCTCATCGGGGTTCTCCCAAACAAATTCAACTCTGAACTGAGCAACTGAACTGCTGGAATGACCCGCCCCTACTGGAATATCTGTGAAAAAATATATATCTTCAAAGCTCATAGATTTTACAAATAAAAACAAAGATTCCACCCTCCTCCAACCACAGCCTTAACAGAAGTTGGCGCAAGGATCACGCGTCACATGACGGGGTGGGTGGCCGGCAACACGCCCGACCGCCTTTGTCTCCTCCAGTGCTGACGTTTACATGCCGCTCTGATTAAGCATCTACGGCTGAAAAGACCTATAGAAGACCCAGGACCGGTTCAGATAATATTCGCAGCGTAGTGCGCGAACAACGATACCACCGCTCTCCCCTTATGAATGTGTACACAAGCAGCACACGTGTAGGCTGGCCAATATGCGTTTCATGCACGGCACCACGTGTACTCCGCGTGGGCATGACTTTGACAAATTG